AAAGAGGATGCCATGTATGCAAATATAGTGCCGGGTGGTGGAAAACGTGGACTTGTCGATGATGTTTATGCTGACTATGTATGTTAAACATAGACCTTTGTTTTAAACTTCAATTATAATATTTACCTTATACAGGAGAGCGTTGATACACCAATGGTGGAACGGCGTAAAAATAATAATTGGCTTGTACGGCAACTCTCACGTATGGGTTCTATACGTAGCCAATCGACAGCTTATTCATCGAGTGGTATGGCCTTTAATCGGAATCGTCTCAATTCGGTTTACTCCAGTCCTGAGTCCGGCATACCGGTTAACATATTACAGCAACAGCAACAAACTCAGCAACAACAACAAGGTCAAACAGCGCAAATACAATCGAAGCCGAGTTTTTATGGCAAGTTTGTGAATCGCAAGTCGCAACGCGCCCAGAAGCAATTCATTAAACAGAGTAAGTTGGGAGTTTATAATGTAAGCATTATAAATACTACCTAAGTATATGGTATAAGATGGCAGAAAAAGTTCATTGTCAATATTCAGATCATTCGTAATATCTAACTAGTTTTCTCAAGCCGTACTTTCTTTGACCGCGTTACCTACCTAACATACCTTTTCTTTTCATATATTACATATATGTTTCATAATTATATTCAATTCAAGTACTAAACTTGTATAACTCCAATGTTGCCTACATTTCGGGGCAGCCAAGACACATACCATACCAAGCATATTAAAAATCCCCATCTTCATCATTTATAGACAATAAGCTAAAAGGTGTATATATCTAGCATAATTTCAAACTAACTAATAATACTTTGGAATTTATTGGCTAACCGCTTTCATCTTTTATTTCTTCATTTTTTATCGATAAACTTTTACATAACTTTCTACTTTTGAATCTACACTTTTTCTCCAATAACACACACTCGTACACACTCATTAACAAATATTACAACACTAAACAGACTCAAAGCTGAATGGTCTCAATGTCAATGTACCCAAGACACGACCACGCATACCCACGCCTGACGCTTCCAAAGAGTTGGGCGAAAAAGATTTGAATGGTAAGTTTATTGATTGGACTAATTTTGTTGCAGCACCAATTCAAAATTTGAATGCACCCATAGGCACGAACACCGTTATTATGACACCACAGTTGAGCACTCAAACCACCATGTATCCCTACACGAGCACCAACAATCAGGATGGACCTGTTTTGGGCACACTATTATTATCGCCCATTAAAGAGATGGATAGCTCATCTTCCAATAATACTTTGATTCCAGGACATCCGACAACAACGGCTTTGGCACAAGCTGTGCTGCCAGCCAATTTGAAGGACATGAACTTTGGCGTTGCCTCACGTGAGTAATTGCAAATTATTATTGGAAGTTATTTACTCACTCTCTCTCTCTCTCTCTCTCTCTCTACAACGCAAACTTATGTATATTTTCTATTTACTTTCCACAGCAACTGCGCCCGTCACCACAAATATCACCACACTCTCTTTCCCCTTCACAATGACCACCAGCGCGGCGGACTCAATGCCCGCTGGCACACTGAATATCGTACCAATCGGTGCCTCGCAAATGCCAACTATCACCACCACCGCCAGCGGTTTCGATGCCAGCGATCTCATCACCACAATTCCAGTCTCACTATCCATACAACGCTCGCCATCGATGCGCTCCATCAACGACTTTAGCGGCAATGAAAATTTGGATGTGCCGCATAATCTCAACGGTGGCTATGGTTCGTCCGGTAATAGCAATGGCGTTGGTGGTTTAGTCGCCACCACAAACAATGCCATACTCACTATAAAGCCATTGAATGGCGGTGATAACATTTCACGCAACAATAGTTTTAATGCCAACTTGAATCTAAATCTGCAAGACTCATATATACTAGAGCGCAATGAATCGGTGCGTTCGGCTGAACAACGGGTCGGCAGTAATGTAACGGATGGACACACAGCGGCGACACGTGACACTTCAGTAGAGGGTAGGACAGAGAGTATAGGCGCCAGTGGCGCATCGGCGCCTTCTACTTTGGCAAAGCGTACACCCGAGCCAGCGAAAGGCACGAAGGAAGTGTATGTATAGTGTGAAAAGGCTTTGTTAGAAGGCGTATTAAAGCGACAGCTGCTCTCATTTATAAAATTGTAAATACTGAATTAAAAATTGTTAGCTAATTTTTAATAGTTCAAGTATGGCATGCTACTTAGCTAAATTTCTAGAACTAAAACATTTCCCATCATAATAATATTAATAATTATAATGAATTTTAGACCAAACTATATATATAACTTCTGTACTCGAATAGCATATAACGAAGATCAAATATATTTATAAAATAATATTTTACTAAACACGCCTTTCTATGGCTTTCTTAACGCTGGCGAGATAACGGTGTTTCAAGCATAGATTTCATATAAATCAAAGTTATTAAACGGTCCTTTTTATTATTAGCTCCTCAAAATATAGTGCATTATTTTAAGTTAATAAATGTTATATTTTATTTAATTATATAGCTTTATGTAATTTTGTGCATGTACATATATAGGTATATATATATTATATACTATGTAAAGTATTTAGTTATAATTTGGTATAAACAGTAAGCTTATTCAAATAATATTTGTAAATAAATTGAATCTCTACAAAAATCTAAAACCGAATGCAACCTTTTGTGATATTTGTCATATATATTTTATATATACATATATATATGTATCTATATGTGCATACATATCCACATCTGTGCCGATGTTAAGAGAATTGTAAACACTTGCTTCTAGTTGTAACATGTATATTTTCAAACTAAAATTGATTTCGAAATTGTTGATCAACTTGGTTGTTACTTATGTATGTATGTTGTAAAAAATTATATATCCATTTTGTTTAAACGACTATATGTATTTTTGCTTGCAGTTGAGCTACATACATATAAGGTTATTTTTTAATTGTAACTCATTTTATAATAGAAATTCTAAAGTAATAAAAGCGCTGAAAAAGAGCACAGACTTTGTTAATAACCATGAAGAGAGCAATCTTAGGTTTATTTATGTTGGAGAGCTGTCACCGCGAGCGAGTTAGTTTAAGAATGACAAAAAACTACCAGACTAATTAAGAGTGAGCCAGTAGCTCACGAAGGATACTCCCACAGGCAATTTTGCTTTCAAAAGGCTTCTTCTAACTTCCATAGCGATTCGATTTCGACGTAAATCTTGTCGGTTTCTATATTTTATGTAAAAATATATCTTTTACTAGTAGATTTAGAATTACATGAGTCTTAAGTATAACTACCACTACACTTTTTGTTAGATATACCGCTCATGATGGGATATTGCAATTTAGAAGGAACGGCATTTTAAGGTTCAGCGGTACGGCTCCATCCAGAAATCATGTCAACGCTCCCAATTCATGTGGGGAAAAATTGGTGATATCTCGGGAAGAGCGACCGGGCGGAACTTACGCTGTAGAAGTATAACATATTTTGTATGTAAATATAAATTAAATTAAAAATTTACATGTCTTACCAATCTGTGAACCACTAGACCTGGCAGTACTGTTAGCGTTTGTAAATATCTAACAAACTTGACATAGTATTGTTTTCATAAATTTTAGCGGTGAGTCACCAAAACTATCATTAACATGTCTTTTATTATATTTATACTACTTGATTTCTTACGCAACTTTAAAAGTTGAAAAAAAAATTTATATCTTACCGGTATAACGATATACTAATTGAAGTCAACTATTCGAACTATTACGTTAAAATATAATAATAGGAGTTGCAAAAATACTGAGTTGTAATAACATCAAAACTCA